AAAGTGGAAAAAGGACACACTAAATCAACATCCAGTAAACATACAAACAGGTCAATGTAAATAATAAAAGAACACCGCTACAATTACATCATTATGATTATTACGATTACTGTTATTACTGCAGTGACATCAGATTTGACATCTGCACTTTATCTACATGTGAGAGTGGAATCTTTTAAGAAATTATATTGATAAACGTCACTGAGATACACTCAGCTGAGTATCTCTAATATCTAATAAGAACGTGGAGGAATTTACGCATCGGGTTGCTTAAAAGCGCAATATTCAGGATGCAGCTTACTGCATCCATTGGTAATTTATTTTGCCTAGGTATCACTTGTTCTAAAGACTGCAGACTGTAATCATTATATATGTTTCCTCGTTTATGTGATGACAGAGTCGTAGTGAAAAGTCATGTAAATTACGCCCCTACTTCTATGACATGCAAAACAGCGAAATTGCAAACGGGTCTTACCATTACACGAGTTCGTCCTCTGCATCCACGGGTAAACCGGGGTACACGGTTTGTCTTCACTGTTAAAATACCTCTCTGCACCCTGTTCAGTGCAGTCCGTCTTGCACTGGTCCTGGGTTAGGACCAGCGAGTCTTCCAGACCACCGATAGCGCACGAGCGGTCAGCGGTTCGGTAAATGTTGGGTGTTGTGTAGTCACAAGCACTGGTGGATCCGCTTCTCCCCAAAACACCCCCAGCTTGCTGGTAATACGAGGAGGTGTAAACCTTGTCCTGGACATTGGTAGCTCCGAACGTAGCGCTTGGATAATGTCTTAAAGGATCTGTATATCCAGAGGAATATAGCGGTATCTGACCCAAGAAAGACTCCTGTCCTCCGGGTAGAGACAGGGGAAAAGTTGAGTTGACGAAATAGGAACTCATGGGGTGGCCAGTGTTATTGTCCGAGTGTTATGATTTGTTGTGTTTTATAGTCCAAGTGGTTTTTGCCATTACTTTATCTGAGATTTGGTTTTAGCCGAAAGGGGGGCGGCGAGGTGCCAATCTGAGACCGCGGGGAAACGGACCAGCTGATCAGTGCCTGACCAATCCTGAGCACTTCTGACTACAGGATAACGTGTAAGGTGGGGGGCCCTCTTGTTGCACAGAATGGAATCCCCAGGGCATATAAAAACACTCAGACTGAAGTGTTTTTCTCCGTTTACCGAAAAGAAACACACCCATATCTATATAAAATGCAATAATAGTAATAAATAGTTACTTTCTATAATATATACAGGCCTACTTTATATAATAATTAATTTTCCCTCGATATTTTCTAATTTTCTCAATCGAAATATGCTGTAAACCTCAAATATGTTTGCAACTGCACGTCATTTTTCAACGTTGTCTTCAAAAATGTCCATTGCTCAAAATTTTCAAAATTTGTATGCAGACATCTAACTGGCTCAATTTAGGTGCACGAGAGAATTTCAGAGAAGCACAGACGGACTTTCACTCGAACTTATACTGACCTTTACCCTCTTTATCTATTAAATAATATCGTACGATACAGATATTTACACATACAGCGCACTCTCTTGCTAAAAAATTAATACAAATAGCCTAATCAAAAAAATAATCAAATTAGGCAGACAAAACTACGCTATCTATATATCCATCTAGTTTACATAATGGCTTTCACGTTGTATATCGAAATACAGTGCAAATTTCTGCAGAAGTGCAACAACTGTTTAGTGATATCAACATAAAAACCTGCTTCAGCAATACATTATATAACCACGCTGGACATAAAAAACAAGCAAATTTCCTATATCAATAAAAAAGAATGCATGCATTGTAAACAGACAAAAGATAAATACAAGCTCAACATTAATCCAAGATTAGCTAAAACATACACCAACGCCATCACTAACATTTAAAATTCAGCCCGGCCCATGTTGTTTTTGTTGTCCTCTTGTTTGAAATATACAACGTCACAGATATATAACACGATTATAGAACGGATTTACATTTTATTTATTTTTTTAAATGTAGCGTCTAGTGTCAATGAAATACCAAAGTAGTCAAAACAAATAGGCTAAATAAATTAAACATTCTTTGAATTTAAATATTTAAGTAGCCCATAACAGTTAAGCTTTTAGTTAAGACAAAAAAGAAACCTCTCAGAAAAAGCTAACCATTAATCACCATTCTGTTTTGTAAATTAATAAAAATTGATCTTTAGAGGTATTATTGAATATCGATAGGCTGCAGCTACGTAAGTACACAATGACGTTATTGTTGTGAGTTTATGCCTTAGAAGGCTGGGACATCCTCATATTCTTAGCACTGCAACGATTCTTTTGTCGTTAATAAATAATAATAATAATAATAATAAATGTCTGATTAAGTAAATGCTATGTATGATTTTAGTTTTTCCTTACTCTATAACGGAATCCAAATAGCTCGTTCTTTCTTTCCGTATCATATTGTATTGTATTGTTAATAATAAAAGAAAAAAAGAAAGAAAGAAAGAAAGCTTATTAACAAGGATATCACATAATTTCAGTGCAAGGTCAATAAGAGCAGAGAAACATAAAATAGGCCTATTGTAAAATAATTAAGATTAGCAAAGACCATTCAAAATTACACCCAGGCATTAACCATTCACAGACTGCATTTGTCGATTACTTGCCCATCGTAGACACACTCTGGCTTAACACATTATCTAGGGATGCTAGAGGTCTTTGAGTCAGCCAGATCACATGCTGAGAACACCCAAACACAGAATTTCACCACAGTTACCAAATCTCGTCACTAGATGACATCACAGAGCAAGAATTGAGAAAAGGTGTGCTTCTTCAGGGATTCACCAAAACAATTACCCCTGTTATTGTAATTCCAAATCGAACATTATTGTGGTAATTCAGATTAAGAATAACCAAATTATCTAAAAAATAAAGGTGCTACTAAATATTGCATTTTTGTTTTCCCAAAACAATGACCCTCAACATCAGTTAGAAAGCTGTTGATGCATTTGAGGCATAATCGTCCTCACAAATGTCAAAAACATGAACCCCTCACTGATAAACTGAAAATGTCATGGGTTTAAGCAAACATTATCCAGAAACCACCAGAATAAAAAAAGACAGAAATAACATCATCCAACTTTTTAATAAAAAAAGCCCTTAAAATGCCGAATGAATGTGCTGTAATGCAGATTCCAGAGA